ATATATTATTAAAAATATAGACATATGTTATATTTTATTTTTAATTATTAATATGACAAAATAATTTATATGAAGATTTAAATTATATTTTTAATAAAATATTATTTTTTACCTGTAAACATTATTTTAATTAGGAAAATAAACTGAAAATAAAGAAGTTTTAAATATTAAATAATATTCTTATATACATTGTAACAAATTTTTAATTTTTAATGTTATTTTTTACATGAAAATTATTAAGTATATAATTTATTTATAAATATGTATTATATTAGTTTGTATTAAATATCTTTTACTTTTTTCTTCTCCATATTTTTATCAAAAATTAATAAATTAAATGATTAAATTTTTATCTTCTCTCAAAATGGTTAAATATTTCTCCCTCTTTTATTAAAAATATACTCCCTTCATTTAAAAATGTAAGAAATTTTTTGAGGAGTTCAATGTTAAAAAATATAAGACATTTTTAGTCTCTTGAAGTGTAAATATTGTTTTTTTCAAAAGCACTCCTATTGATGAATGATTTTATATTTATTATAGGGTGTTTAATAGCAGTAAATATAGAAAGATAGGATTAGTATGAAAGTTGATAATTACTTTATTGGAGGTGAGATTTTGTTAAAAATGCCTTATATTTTTAAATGGAGGGAGTATTATATCTACAATTTTTCAATATCCTAAAAAGTATTTTAATAACAAATTAATTTCAACCACATAAATTTTGTTAATAGTCATTTGAATAATTTTGAAATCTGAATAAATACTAATAACTTTTACAATGCAAGATAATTATAAGGATCTCATATGTGATCAATCTAGCTAATCTTTAATCATTCCCATAGCAAGGTGAATTTGGATAATTTTTCATATTCTCCTTAGTCATAATTAGTTATAAAATTTTATTAGTAATGTCTTTTTTTATAACAGTGAAAACCTAAATACTCTAGTCAAAATCACATGAAATTCTTGTCCAAAAATTATTAGAGTTTAGCAAAAAAAATAAATACTGTATGTATACCAAGCTAAGCATCAAGTACATAATATACCAAATAGTGATAATATCATTTGCATCTCATGATATCTGTACAATTTTAACGTCCCAATGCCATTTATATATTTGTATGTAAGTAAAAATTTATATATAACTTAACCTACTTATAATTGAAAGTAACCCATTAAGATTTTAATTTATCACATTAAGATACTAGCTTAATAACATAATTCTTACAAAAATATGAGCCATACACATCTAAAAAATATTTTGAATAATAAAAAATTTAAAAATAATTTATTAATTAAACATAACACATCTTCATTGTTATTCTTTTTGTTTCATGATCCTATATATAATTTATTTCTAATTTTATATATAAAATAATAAATTTAATTTCATAAATATCTTTTGAATAATTTTATTTAATTTTAAATTTTTAAAATAATTCACAAGAAAATTTTTTAATAATTTAAATGATAATTTTATAAATTGCTTCATATAGTTCAAAATTATATTAAATTTTTTAAAAATACTTTTAGTGGAAAAAATGTTGTCACTAAAAGTAATTATATAAATTATTTTTAATTTTAAAATTATTTTTTATAAAAATATTTTTAATGATAACTATTAAAAAATGATCCTCAAAAGTATATTTTTGGTGGCGGCACGGCCAAAAATGAATTTTTTGCTGGATAAATGTTTTTTTTTTGTGAAAAAATTGCCAGAGCACCCATATCATAGCATTTCTGCTTTAAGAGCCTCTTAAATCATGAGACAGAATATGCCAATGCATTTTTAAAAATCTATTACGACTTGCTTCTGTATAATATATATTTACAACTAACATTTTGAAATTTATAAATTTCATGCATTAGACTGAAAAAAACGTTGGGCTTTCATTGGTGGCATTGACTACCAAGTACCAACTATATATATGGCGGCCTAAATACTTTAATCTCATTTAAAATCAGGGACTAAAATGTGGATCTTGGTATTTTGGGACCCGAATGTCATGCATTCGCCCTATCCTTTAACATATACTTATTTGAGAAATGAATTCTTTTTATTTATTGAAATACTCCCTCTGTCCCAATTTATAAAGATACTTTTAAACAAAATCATTCATATTAATAAAGTTCATTAAATACGCTTTACAATTTTATTTTTTTAAAATAAAAATATAAGCTCTCAAAAGTACCATTCATTTAATACTTCATTTAAAAAGAGAGAATATAATGGAAATGGTAATATTAAAAAAGTATCATTAATAAAATTTTATTTTTTTTTGTTAAAAAAGTGTCTTGTAGTTTTGGAACGTTGAATTTTCAAATACTCCTTCCATTTGTATTTGTTAGAAAAATTGTTACTTTTAATTTGTTTTTTTATAAGCAAAATCATATATCTTAATAAGCATTATTTATTATAGATTTTTTAAATTACCTCTCATAATTTACATTAATAAAAAACAATCAATGCATGCTTATATTGATTAACATAGGATATTTTAATCTAATTTTTTATTTTTAAACATAATTGTTATAATTAATTAATTTTTTAAAACTGTGTGATATAGCTTTTTTTTTCATACATAGAAATGGAGGAAGTATTATTTATGCAGTACAGCATAATATTCCTTATTACAATAAGCAGTGTCAAATTCATTTGTCGATGTCCACAGCGTAATTCTGTGGACACCTTCAACCTCATTAAAGACATCAAAGTTTTGATGACGCTGGAGACTGTTACCTTAGATTTTGGTTTTAGAAAAGTAAATAAATGTGTTGAGTGGCCAGCTCGACATACGCATCTCATTTATATTTTCATAAATTATCATATTCCATCCTTAAAGTGCAGGGATGTTTTGATTGCAGATTTATATTGATCATCTTTCATCAGATAGCACACCGTAATCAAAATAACTTTTACATATATAATACTAGCAATATACTTATTGTTAGGTACATTGTCTTGTGGACTTAAGTTGACATAAAAAGCCCCATTAGATAAAGTTAGATTTAATAATTAATATATAATAAAATGTAATGACTGACAAATTTGAACTTTGGGGTTTATAATTAAGATATAGTATCTTTTCATTACTCTTGTCTATGTTTACTCTCCCCCATTTTCAGATGACTGCTCCACTCAATCTAAATATGAGTGGATTTAAGCCAATGTAAAAAATCTCATATATATTAAAGAAATTTGAGTTTAATAACTAATATACAATAAAGTGAAATGATCTATAAATTGAATCATTGATGTTTTGATATAAGCTATGGTGTTCTTACATTGCTCTTGTGCATTTATTTTCCTCCAGTTTCCAGTCGGTCATTTCTCATTACCAACACTTACAAATAGTAATTAATTGAATAGAAATTTTTGACATTATAATTAAATGGATATTAATTACAGCTGTTTTATTGAAATACAAGAAAAAAAAATACAAAGCCGACAGTAGCTTGGGACAACAAAAGGAACCTTAGAAGTAACTAGATAGCAAGTCTGAATCTGATAGGAATAGAATTCTATGAAGCATGTGGAAAGGTGATATGATAAATGTTTGTTTGGATACGTTGAACTTTATCAGGTGATGAAGTTAGTAAAGATGCGAAAAGATATTGTCTTCATAATTAATGACCATGTTAACGTCAATCACGCAGACATGCTTAAGCTCATTTAGCAACCACACCATCTTATCAATACTTTATTTTAAACATCTCCCCCCCCCCCCCCCTCTCTCTCTATATATATATATATATTGACATATATATCTTTGACTATCAAGCTTAACCGTAGTCCATATGCATGTTTTCATTTACCAAAGGATGGCACACATGGGTTAGTTCTAGCAATATAATTAATCAAACCCTCATTATTGTCCACTAATCTAATTAATCACGGCGACACTTACCTCGATCAAAGAATCATCAACATTGTTATAAAATATATAAAAAGTACTTTAATTGTTCACCAGCTAAGTTGAACAAATATTATGACTCATTTAAAGTTTCATGCAAATTTACAGAAATCAGTACCCTTCACAAATTATGAATAATGATACATTTTAGGGAAATTTATAAACCTCACATTAAGAAATCTAATTATAGAAAAATCCTATCAAATTATAAAATTATTCTGAAGTCCCATGTTCTTTACTAAAAAATGCCAAATACTATTGGATAGTTGTTAATTATTTCTGCTTAATTGTCAACTGAACAATTTCACTAATAATTATTCAGTAATAATTGACAACTACTTTAATATAGAAATTGACTATTCCCTTGGATCCTTATTATAGAGTGCCTTCACAAAGAATTTTTGGTCCTTAATTTAAGATTTTTGATGGAGTAGTAATTTTAATATTAGTACTATTTAAACTCATTAATTAAAAGAGAGAATGTAATGTAAATTTGAAAGCCTTTCATTTAAATAAAGATAAAATTAAAAGTTTATTATATTTTCAAACAAAATTAATGAATCAGTTATCTCTGTTTGATTTTAATGAGAGAAGGAGTACTTCAATTAAAAAACAAAACACTTCAAAGTAATTTGCAATTTTATAGGACATTTTTGCATTTTGATTGCTTATGAGACTTGAGATTGATTTTCTCGACATTTTATGAGATATAGAGCTGCAAAAATTTTACTCATTTAATATTTCCCATAATTTCTTAATAAATCTTAAATATTGAAACCAGAGCTGATAAGACGAAATAAAATAACCAATTGATTGCGTAATGTACTGACTTGCATGATCCATCAAGCAACACGTACGCCCAAAGATCTGTTTGAATATAACATTATATATATAACACTAGATTCATTCATTATTTGAGACCCAATCGACGACTTGGGTTCTTTGTTCTGTGCTTTTCACCAATATGACAATTTGCTTTGTGTCCCACAAATGATTATGCTTTTCTGTGTCTGAACATGCACTCTAGCTGGTTTTCTTCTATAAAACTTTGACATATTTTACCACTTTTCAAGGTCGCACATGCCCACCACTTTCCCTTTAATCAATTTGATCACACAACTTTGCTTCCTCGTCTCAAATCCCAAGATCGATCCAACTTCTTCTTCACTAGTTTCTTTCTGATCATCTCTCTCCAATCTCTCTCACATGGCAGATACTGATTACCATGCTACTAAAAACCCAATAACCGATACCACCTCTCCGACGACGTCGTCTCTGAAGCTTTTTGGCATTAACATTAACAAAGTTTCAGAATCTGAGGCCGCGAACGCCGGCAACGATCGCCGGAAATACGAGTGCCAGTATTGCTGTCGTGAGTTTGCCAATTCACAAGCACTTGGAGGCCATCAAAACGCGCACAAGAAAGAAAGGCAGCTTCTAAAGCGAGCTCAAATGCAAGCTGCTCGTACTGCTTTTGCTGCCTCTCATAGTTATATTCATCATCATAACCCTATCATATTACCTCCGCCTGATATCCTCACCGGATTGCCGCCTCCGCCTCCGCCACCGCCATCGCCATTGCCGACTCCATCGGCGATGTATCATTCCGGGGCGTTCGGTGTGTGTGCCTCTTCTGGTTTTGCAGGTTTGCCTGCAGATCCTTCACGACCCTCTTCCATGGCGCCGGCGTACGGTGGCTTTAACAGCAGCGATGGGGGTGAACGAGGCTTCAGTTTGGATTTGCAACTTCGTCTATGAGTGAGAAGCATTGAAATTGAGATACAAGATGCGAACATTGCAACACAATAAGGTTATTATGTAAAGTTTAAGTATCTTGTCGTTGTTGAAATGAGTGTCTGGTTATTAAATTTCTTACTCAAAGAATACGCCTGGTTGAGTTTTTAATTATAAATTAAATTTTCCACAAGTCGAAATCAAACTTAGAAATTATATATTTTTCTTTTTTTTTAACGTGCTTTTTTGTTCCACCCTTTCCCCTAGTCTGTCATATGATTAATTAGTTTCGAGGAACTACCATAAGGAAAGAAAGCAATGGGAGAGAAATGTCAGAGACGGATGGATTAATCATTCCGGTGTCTCTGTATTTTCAGTGAGAGGAAGTATTTATTTGAGATGTCATATATTTAATTTGTTTGAAATGTCCTTATAGTTTATTAAATTAAAAAATTATGGGAATTAAGTTATATTGTGTTAACAAATTATAAGGACTGTTTCGAGTCAAGAGACCATAGGATTGAATTATTATGAATTAAAGTTTAAGGATTTTAAATTGATAATTATGGAAATTTAGAAATTAAAAGTTATATTTTTCCTGTTATTTTTTATACAAGTTATTTAATAAAAAATATTAGTAGCTTTTATCTGATGCATTAATCACATTTGTATTCCAATTATACCTTTTATTAAACTAGGAGTATTATTTAAGAATTAATTAAATATAAGTTAAAATTTTAAAAATTAAATTGGAAGCTTTTTGGGGGGTCAATTTATAACACATTTGAAAAGGATGCATCTTTCTTAGTGATAATGAGGTAACTATCATATTTGGCTTAGTCGGTTATCCTCCAAATTGGAGACAATATTACCAGAGGTATTATCAAGCATTGAATGTGGGTACTTTTTTTAATAGAAATTCAAACTTTATTTCCTCATATTGTGAGAGACTAATTTCATTTGTTAAACCCAACCCTCATTAATAGATATACATTTCTTATATATATTTAAGAGTGGCAAAGAAAATATATTGCAAACTATTTAAAACTATTAAATCTTAACTGGTTGGACACCTACATGTCACCAAAAGATATTAGTAAATAAAGGTCTTACTAATTAAACTCAAACACACACATTCAAAGGTCCTTTAATACAGGTGTTTACATCCACATTTTACCATATTCTGAGGGGGGAATCATATATAAACAAGGTAACAATGAATATATGTGCCTTTTATTTACCACTTAAAAATCACCACAAGCTTTAGTCATGCATGACCAATTGTTATTTGACTCCATGATATTTTCACCAAACTACAATGATACAAATCATAATAAGTAAAATGGTAATACATGTAGCATATTGTTATGATATATATGTGCACGCGCACATGTCTCTGAACATTCAAGTGAAATGACCATAGACAATTAGGGTTTCTTCCAGGACCTCCAAAAAAGAAGTGAGCGCCCCAATCATAATCATCAAAAATGCCAGTTTGGATGTCATAGCACTTGGGACTATCAATGCTAGTGACAATATTATTAGGAGGCACCAATTGGTTGTTGTTATTAGCAATTTTCATGTTGGCAAAAAAAGCTAGCTTTTGTAAACCCTTAACCAGAGAAATTGCCACTTCCCATTTGTGTGGAACTACGTTGTCCATTAAGTTTTGAGTTTATGACTTCACCTCCCCACTCGACTGCTGAGATGCATTGTAAGAGAGTGTAAAGAACAAAGACGAAGGCCAATACCCATAACTTTATCAGCACCATTTTGCATCCACCAGTCTCCACTTTTTATATCCTGCTCTTTGTTAATTATAACAATTAATATATATTATTTATTCAGATTATATGCATTTTTGTTTCAAAAGTATTCTTGCAAGAGTTTTGAGCACACTAAACAAAACTGCAGAGAAATATAACACACAATCTTTTCAAAAACATTGTAATATTACCAGCAAGTGTTAGTTTTAATGGAAGAGACTATATATGCTTAAACACAAGATTTTGAATTCAAGTTCGTGTAAATGCAAAATACCTTTGAGAGAACTATCTCCAGTTGTATCGACTATGCTTGAATTGAATCTAGTCCAATTAGATAGTCATATAAAAAATAAGTGAGAATGTCAGTAAAGTTTCAAAAAATTAAATTAAGAGAGAATTACATATAGGTCCCAGATAAAGAAACTAATTGCTTACAATTTTGTTTCACTTGTAAATACCAAAGTTTAACATGTAAATATAGAAAAATTTGACTTGCAAATGAATTGGAGGAATAACTAATTTTTTATTTGAAACTTAATTGTAATTCTCCCTTAAATTAATAATAGTTAAGTCCCTGATAATTTTTTAAAAAAATAAGTTGTAAATATCAATTCAAACAATTTTAATTTAAAAATTACATTTAGAATTTCAATGTTTTATTTTTAGTTGAAATTCTTAAATGTACAATTATTTGAATCAATATTTGCAAGTTATTTTTTTTTTAAATCATCAAAAACCTAACTATTATTAATTCACTCTTCTAGCACTTAGCTTTCATTGTCCCAAAAATAAAACATGGTAATGTTAGAGTCCCTTTTTTAACCGTTAATGTTGGGTAAAACAAAAAGTTTATGCGCTGCATTACTCTGATTTTCTTTAGAGCGCCCATATATATAGATCCTTTGGAAATGCTTTTAGGAAGGAAAAATGCACTTTAACTCATACTCTTTATCCAAATAGACAATTTGACACCCTCGCATATGAAAGGAGAACAAAATAAACAATAGGGCATGATTCAACATGTTGCAGAAATTGGACACACACAGTGACCTACCTTCCAGATGGAGATCGTGAAAGCAGCTTGAGCATTATCATTACCATATTTGGAAAACGGTGTGATGCGTCCTCCAACGGCAACTCCAGCATCAACTTGAACAAATCTAGAACATAGCAGATCATAACATCCAGTACTGTTGTTGGAGATCGTATCAAAATATATAATTAACAAAATAAAATTCACCAACAAAACGATTCCAAAAACAAATTTATAGGATTCCTGGAAATTTATGAACTCACAATCCAATATGTAAAAACTCTAGTCGGATTGTCACCATATACCTCTGGATTCACATGATTGTCCAAAATTAAGAAATGTCAAATAGAGAATGAGATGGATATTTAGATGATAGTGACATGAATATTAGGCTGTCCAGTATAAGTAAACTTAAATTGATGTGAGAAGTCTCACATCAGATAAAGCAAAGCTAATAACTAATATATAATAAAGCAAAATGATCCATAAACTTACCCACCAACCAGCTTCTATGGTATTTGTATTTACGCCAAATTTGAGAGGAACTAAATTCGCCAAACTGAACATTAGGATTCCATGTGTTTATGGTTGCCTTGGTTCCATAATATGATCTATCTCCTTTTACATAAACCGAGGCATACTATAGTCACAAACAAAAAGGAGCAAAACTCATCAAAGAAACAAATTGAAAGACAAATTAAAGCTTCTAATTTAATTTGAATAGAGGGACAACATTAATTAATTAATTAATACCTCCAGGCCATGGCTACCTTGACCTTTAACATAGCGAGGAGGACAGTTTTAAGATTCTTCTTCCAAATCATTGGATAGAGCTTGCTCCCAATATGTCTTCTTCTCATATTCTTCTTATAGGGATGCGGTTCCTTCTAGGCAGCTTCCAATTTGGTGCCATGGTTACGTTGAGCAATTGGCTTTGATTTTGAAGATACATCAAGTTTTTCTACTATATTATCTTTTGGGTAAGAACTTGGCCTCATCTTGAATCAAATGGAAAATACAATTAAACAGCTTAATTTAGAATTATATTGTCAACAATATGAAGCCGAATTAGTAAAAGTCAATTACAAGAAAGCAAATTAAAACTGTTTCACCTTCATTTTGTGATTTTTGAGTTTTGGATGATCAAAAGCAGGTTGATTCAAAATAGAGACACAATCAATTATATCGCCATCCGGACTCTGCTTGATAACACAAAGCATTAAAAACTTAAAAACCATGAATAAATCCCAAAATTATAAAAATACCACCAATTCCTTCACACACACACACACACACACACACAATTATCCTCCCTCTGGCTATAAAGGTGCTCCCAGAATTTTTTGCATATTAAGAGAATGTTGTTACATTCTTAAAACTCAAAAAGTCATCTAAAGATTCCAGTATTACCCCTATTATAGTGACATCCACTTCTTTTCACAATTTTTAAGAAAATTCATTAAAATGATTAGGGATAAAATTGTCCAACCATTAGATAATACCACATTAGCAGCTTTTAATGTACTTTTCTCTAATGCCATTAATAATGTCATGCCTTCCCAATGTCTTTTTTTTTATCATTTACTTCTACATAATATAAAAGACATTTTAATATCTTGAAATATTAAAATACTAGAGTTTTACTTTTTTTTTTACAATTTTTCAAAGATAAAAATATATATTTTTGATATTTTTCTTTAAAATTTATTAAAAATAAAATAATGCTAGAATCAATATATATATGTGTGTGTGTGTGTGAAAATATCTCTTATTTTATATAGAAGACAAAGACCCAAAGGAAAAAAGAAAAATGAAGTTAAAAGCCTTTAACCCGTTATGCCTTATATTGTGAACAAAAAAAATATTTTAGAATAGCTCTTATAATAAGGACAGGATAGAGTATAATCAAACGAGGGGATATAAGATATATGAAGATGATACGGACCTTGATGGACTTAACAGCTGGTTTATTCAACTTGTTCAACAGCTTCTGAACCTCAAGTTTCTGATGAAAATCACCATCCTTGCGATCCGCATTTGTGATCACTTGTACCCAAATAATCAACAAGAAGCACAAAATCACATTGGCCACCAAACTCTTCTCTTCCATTGACTCTGAAAAGTAATATGAAGCACGCACGCACTTACCTTTCTGAAAATTCTCAAGCTAAGTTTCTGCAAAGTTACGGCTGATGTATATGCTACTTATCATTAATGTGATATTATTTTACTTTGTTTTCCCTTCTTGTGAAAAATGAATCTGCAAACAACGATAACAAAACCACGCAAAAAAGAAATTAAACCTTTTTAATATTTACATCATTATCCATGACGAACTAACGTGTCATGACAAAGCATATTTATCATATGAAATTTTGAAATTGATGATATTTTGTGGATGTACCTATATATTCAAGGATTTTAACCATAGCATTGATGAGTTATCCTATCTTGACTTATTTTTCTCTTATGTTCATGAACCTAAGTCATTAATAAGTCTGTTTGTATTAGAAGCAATCTATTCAAGGTACAGTTAAGTATTCAATATAGATAATTCTATAAAAAGTACTTTAATTGTTCACAAGTTGAACAAATAATATGACTCGGATAAAGTTTCATGCAACTTTACAGAAAAAAAGTACCATTCACAATTATGAATGCTACAGTTTAGGGAAGTTCACTATCAGGTCCCATCTAAGCAATCTAAAAAAGTTTCATAAAATTATAAAATTAATTTGAAATCGCATTTTCTTTATTGACATTGTCAAATACTACTAATGTTTATCATTGTTATACTAACAACCATGTAGCAATAATTGAAAGTTTTAATACATAACAAATTGACAATTTTAATAAAAGACATGAGACTTCAGAATAATTTTGTAATTCCATGGGGCTTTAAAATTTTCCATTTAGATTGCCCATGTGAGACTGGGGAGTGAGTTTTCCAACATTTTATGAGATTTTGTTCAGCATTATTATATTTTTATTCATTTAATATGTTCCATCAATTTTTTAATAGATCTTAAATATTAAAACCATAATTGATAAGTCCTTTTTGTATGATTAATAACGAAATGTACTGAATTGCATGATTAATAGGTTCATTTCGTACACCGCTTTAGATAGCTTTTAGCCTCCAGTTCAATGTAATTATGGCATAAAACATAAGGGAAATATGAATTTGTTGCCACACTAACCATTTTGTATAAATTGTAGTGAAAGGAAGCTAAAAGTGACAAAAAGAGGACAAAGACGTAGAATCATCGCTTCTATTTACGTTAGTGCAAGGAAAAGGCCAGTAGATATCACTACTGTCCGTGGATGAAGCTGCCAATAGGAGTTTTGACGCCTCTGTCTCAAACCATTCACAAACAAGCTCAACACAAATCACAACCATTCGCGGATGCACGAGGGAATCGGGAAGGGGCATTGTGCTCTCTGTTCCAAACCACTTGCTAATGAAGGCAACAAAAATCTCCGCCAGTCGCGGTTATTGGACGATCTCTCCTCTTGCCCACCCACGGAAGACTCAACAGATGAGGGCCCTTTGTTGATGAAAGAAATAGAGGAGAAAAGATCAACTCCCAGATTAGAATTGAAGGGCACTTCTTCGGACTTCTTGATGCCTCTCTTCACTAGGATAAGTGATTGGATGATTATTATAGGCATTGAGAGGTTTATTTATTACTGTTTCGACCCTCTTTGGCTTAAAATCTGGCCAGATCACGTCTAAATCTTATTCGATTCCCAAAAATCTGGCTTGAATTAAATTAAATTCAGATATTAAATCGCAGGTTGCCGCATGTCTGAGCTTTATGTCCATACGCGGTCGAGCATAGTCCTCTCTGTTTAGTTGTCAGCACACAAGGGAAAAGTACGGAGGTCCGTAATTAGCACAAATTTACAGAAAAAACTCATTCCAAAAAATTAACTTAATGGGTGGGAAAGTCTCTCGTATTTTTAAATCCCACATTACTTGTGAAGTTCCTCGATATGGGACTCATAATAGGGTCATGTGCATTGTTTTGAAACCCGGATTCAATATCAAACCGACAAAAGCAACAGATCACGGTTTTCATGGTTCAACCGGTTAAACCAATAGTTGAACTGGTGACATAAAAATTAAATAAAAATAATATTTATATATATAAATATATATAAATAAAATATTAATTTGTCGATGTTGCTTATATAGAGCCAGTAATTTGGACAGGGCAGGCTCAATTAAGGTCAAGCTTATTTGGATCGGGCTTTGAGTATCATACCCTTTAAAAAAGCCCATATAGCTAAGTTTGGCCCTAACGTCTTTGGACTTCAAGTTTATTCAAGCTGACCTGAATACCCAAAACTTTAAAAAAAAATGCCTTTTTTCAACTGATTTCAATTTGTAATTTAAAAGTTAATTTTTTTTCAAATAATATAAACATAACAACACATTCTAGATTAGTAAAATACATGTAATAAATCATAAAAAATACATTAATATTAATATTAATAACAAAATTTAAAACATTAATTGCTTAATTTAACAACAAAGGCATGCTACCAATAAAGCCTGTAAGGGTTCAAACAACTTGAAAGTAAAAATTTAATGATACATAATTTTCATAATTCCTTCACAAAAAAAGATGAAAATTTCACAATAAAGTTCAAAACATCATGCTGTTAATTTTTTTTAATTTCCTATTCCTCTTGACTTTCTTGATTGACATTGTCATTATCATCCGAAGTTACATTTGAACTCTCAATGGACATATCAATGGGTGAAATTTTTTCAAATGATTTCCTCTCGTTTTCAATCACCATTTCATTATCTACAATAAATGAACAAGTTTTATAAGAGAATTTAATAAAATTGGATTCTAATCAAGAAAGAAAAAAATATATAAAAAAATAATTATATATTACCATCATATGCAACCAATTACGGGTGCAAATAAGAACCTAGAAATTATCACAAAGAAGAGTGCTCTAATATTAAAAATTATCACAAAGAAGAGTGCTCTGATATTTTGTAAGAATACACGAACCAATGCTGAATGCAAATTCACTTGCCATTATAGTGATTGAAATGCTAAGTATATCAGCTGCTATTTTCAAAAGATTTCAAAATCTACATTTATTAGTATTCCTCCAATTAAAGACATCCAATTTGTGATATACATGAAGCTAAGGTATTGCTTCATCTAGACAAAATTCAAGCTCAAACTTGCCAAAAGATATAAAATCCATACTTGTATAACAAATCTAATCCTGCACTATGCAAAATTTGAAGTAATATATGTCTTGAAAAATTAAAATAAGATTAAAAATATGAAAAAAAAAAGTACATCTAAAATCCCTTGAATATTGCTTGTTTTTGTCAAAGCATTAGAAGTAATGGAGGATCGAGCTTGATATCTATGCGTTGGCATTCTTGAACTTGATTCAGCCCCAATATCAAAAATAGAAATCATCTCTTTATACTGATTAAAAGTATATTTTAATTTGCTTCGGATATTCCCGATCCTCACATGGAAACTTATAGGATCAATTTTGGCATATATATACTGTATCATTTAAAGCTTTATTCATAGATCAAGCATAGTTGCACTTACAAGGATAGTGCTACAATAATTCGAATACTTATCAAACTTGTCATTCATTCTTTTGGCCATTTCACAGATCACAATATCACCATTGAACATATTTTCATCCAACAAGAATATTTTTGACACTTGAGAGAAATGCAAATTTGAAGTGGGATGAGATGACCTAACATCAACCTTGTCATAACATCAAATGGCCTTAAGAAATTGCACATCTCCTCCCCTCTCCTCCACTCTTCATGTGTTGGGCAATATGTGAAACCTGTATCATAGCAAGATAAGCTGATAAAAGCATGGCGATATTTTAATTCACTTTTAAGTATTAGAAAAGTTGAATTTTATCTAGTAGGCATGTCCATCTGCAAGCCCATTAAACCATCAATACCACCAACTTCTTCAAGACATTACTTGAAAGCAATCATCCTTGCCTTTGATCCTCTCATATACTTAATGCTATCCCTAATCTTGTTTACAGTGGTACTTGTTACTTTCAAACCTTCTTGAACTATCAGGCTTAAGATATAGACATAGCACCTTAATTATATGAAAAAATTCCCCTTCACAAATCAAGCTTGCACTGTCTTGTAAAGCTAGCCTCTCTTTCAATTTTTCCTGCATATTATCATTTGTAAAGGTATTGTCTAAAGTGATAAAAAATACTTTCTTGTTGATCCCCTATTCCACCAAATAATCATATACTTTTCTAGCCAATTCTACCCTAAAATATGGGGGTTTCATGTGACAAAAGAAAGCATTTTACTATTTAACATCCAATTTTTATCAACTAAATGAGTAGTCAAACATAAATAACCTTCAAAGGCTACAGTTGTCCAATAATTAGATGTCAAGGAAATTCTTCCAACACTATTTTATAATTTTTGTTTTAAAGCTTCTGTGTGCCCATAATAGACTTTCATTACATCACTCATTGTTGTTTTTCTAATAATGCACTTCAAACTAGGATTCAAGACTGTAGAATAGTGCCTAAACCATTTATATTCAATAATAAAATAAGGCAAATCATGTTCAATTATCATCATAAAAAAAGAATGTCGTGCCTCCTTTTCATCAAGTTTCCCAAACCTTAATTTTCCATCTTTACCAATCAACGTTAACCTAACATCATAATACTTAGCTAGCTATAGACAATTCTTAGCACGCTATGCTAAATGAGACGTGCCATTAGCTCCAGATCTAGTTTGATCTTTATTACAACCATTGCATCTAGCGTTTGTTTTCCTATCAATTATAACTTTTGAAAAAGACTTTCACACATAAGATGTGCAAGTTTTGGCTCTTTTACCAACAGAAAGCTTCCCTTCTTATTAAGAAGTTGTTCTTTTCCTAGGACAAACAAATTTTTCCTTATTCTTTTCAAATGCAAATGCAGCACTACCTACCTTACTAGAATGCAAATTATCATCTACTTTACTACTATTAGCACCCACATTTTCACTACCTGTAGAACCCCCAATTTCAATGTGTTTTTTTTTAACTAGAAGATATTTTTTACTACATATAATAAGGACACATAAAGAAATTAAATAAGATCAATTAGCCACTCAATAATAAACTAAAATTAGACAATAATGGAACATAGAAAGGCAAAAAAAAAATCAAATAATGAAACACAAAGAAGGGCATAAACAAAACAACTAAATTTAGATAGGCAGAAAATGAAAGACACAGGATCAGAAACCATTTATAAACATTTTGCCTTAAATTTATACAAGGCAATTCAATTGAAATGGATATGAAAATTCTGGAACACTCTTCCCAAGCTAGCCATAATGTAAATTCTTGAATTGGAAAGTAAGGCTTTTTATTTCTTTTAGTCCAACATATGAGTGATTTATTATCGCATGAATAAGGAACCTTATCATCATTATACATTGATTTTAACAACATAAAGTTTCTCATTATAGAAAATAGCATAGCAACAAACACTTGTTTTTTATTTTGCACTAATGCAACAAAAGTCACAAAATTGGTATAAAAAGCAAAAGAGAATCTCATACACAGCTACACTAGTTATTTCTTTGAGTTTAGAGATGCAAAATCAAACCTGGAGAGAAGAATGAGAGTTTGAGACTTGAATACAATTGACGACAGTACAACACAAAGCTTAAGAACAAAGCTTTAGAGATCAAAGCTTTGCTACTTCAGTTTGAAGATCAATCTTTCAGATAATGAGTGGAGAGTTTTGCGGCCATCAAGAGAATGAGAAGTGAGAAAGAGAATGGAGAGATTGAGAATTGATAGAGATCGACTAGGGCTAGGGTAGCTTGAAAGAACTAAAGAACTGAAGAAGTTGGATGAAGATGGAAGATCTAAACGAGGAGCCATAGACGATGACATGCGAGCTGTGCGACGATCAATGGCTTGAGAGTTGAGCAACAGCGACAGCAACGGCGTAAGGGGAAGGGTTTTTAATTTTTCCAAGCTCAAGAGAGGGACTAAAGGAGGGTAGAGTCAAGGCAGTGTCTTGATTTTTTTTAAATTTTCTTTCATGTCTGTACTCTGTACTATGACGTCGCGTGTGTTCTTTACTATGGGTTTCAAACTTTTTTTTTATTTTTTTAAATTTTTATTTAGGCTCAACCCTAATTTTTTCGAGTAGGTTCAAATTGGCCCATCAAGCTTGGCCCAAAATATCAGCTTTAGGTGCTTGGGATCTCAATGTTGAAGGCTAGATGCCTAGATTGCTAGAGCTAGAGGCATAGACATGTTAGCACAAGCTTGTGATCTTGAAGGAAAGTGCTGGAGTTGAAGGCACACTATTATATCATGACTCACGAGCTTCCGATCTCAATGTCAAAGGCTAAATCGCTGGAGCTGGAGTCAAAAATTAAGCATGGGCCATGGATGAGAGATCAGAAATTAGAGAAGAGAAGACAAAAGAGAATTAGAAATTAGAGAAGAGAAATCATGAATTTAAGTGATTTAACCTAAATTTCTTTTTTTCTTTTTTTTTATTCAAACCTGGTTGACTTGCTTCCAGTTTTAAGTTAAATACATTTCTATGAAAACTACCTAGTTCAATCAGGGTCAATTCTATCCAAAGGCTAATTTAGTTCAATTAGTTAAACCAAACCATTTTACTCAAGGGGCGATGGTTGGACAATCCAGCCCGGTCCATTTTTCACAACATTAGTCATAGATGTCCAATGACAGAGAAGAATTGTAGTGATATTGTCCGCACATTATCTATGGTAGAGAGCTCAGAGTCTTCATGGAGCTAGTTGTCCACACAAATATGGCATTTTCTTTAGGGGTTCTCCGCAGACAAACTCTAGCAAAAAGCTCAGGTTCTATTCAAGTCTACTCATCTGTGCATAGATGGACTTTACTCGTGGCCTGTTTATGGATGGAGTGCTATAGAGAGCTCAACTCTTCTCATTCAATATATGACCATGCATGGAAATTGTTCATCATATTGTCTACAGATGGATGAACTCTTAGGCTTGGTTTTTTAGGCCTGGTTTTGATATTTTACATGTTTAGCCCTTTATATCATATGTTTGCTCCTTTATCCTAAAAATTCTCAAAATTACCAAGTGAGGTATTTTATTTATATTTATTCTTATTTTAAGCATTATTTGGTGAATATGATGGCAAAAATATACATTAATTCTTTGTAAAATCCCTACTTACCATCCATCGAACGTGATTTCTTGTCTATGAGAATTAATGTTATATTTATACTTATCTCTCTTGTTTTATTTGCCTTTTTATATATGTGACAGCTATATAATTTGTTTGTGGGTTATTTGATAAATTGAGAGGTGAAGAATTAACTTAAACCTAGAGAGATAGACGCATATAATTAAATTAGTAATAAGTAGGATATATGGTGACTTAAATTATAGTTTCATGATCTAATTAGTTCCTTTTGAGTTAAGTTGGGCTGAACATTAGTTAGACATATCCTAATATATTAAAAGATAATTAGGATATACTTTAAAAATAATTGTCACTATAAATAAAGAAAAATAATTATTTAAATAATTAATTAAATTAGATTAAACAGCCATAGCACTTGTTTGATTGATTTAGTTTATCATATTTTATCGTTACTGTGTTCTTTTATTAGTTATTAAATCCTTTTTCAAAACTATTGGCTTCTATTAAATAACAAAGTTGCTATTTTTTTTTTCTGGGTTCGATTTTTAGAATACTCTAAGAATTATTATGGCATTGATCCATACACTTGCAGGAGAGACTAAGATTTTGGCATGTTGTCGGGAAAGACAATTACCTTTATTATTTTCTTAATTTATTTTTTTAAAAAGATATTTCCTTGTGTGCTTTTGCATGATTACTAGACGCTCCAAGAGTTTGAGGGAGTTTGATTTGAAAACTATTAACCTTGAGAATTAATGTGCTTGCAGACGTCATTGCAAAGAAAAGTGTGAGGAGAATAAGATGCAGGAGTGGGGTTAGAAAATTTTGTTGGGGGTTAAAATGAGAAAGCATACATAATAATTAAAAAAATTTATATATAAATATATATATATATATATCAGTAACATAACATAAATATTTCAACGTATATATTTATAATCAATTTTACATATATGTGTGTGTAACAAAAAAAATAAATATATATATCTTTTTTTAAGATTTTTTCATTAATTTTTCATGGTATAAAAATAATTAATTATCATGTTTATGATAAAATTTTTAAAAAAAATTTTCTCAATATACACTATCATTAAATTAACAAATATTTTATTTTTTTCTTAAGTATTGAATAATTTAAATACATCCTTGTGATATAAAGTTCTATTCAATATGAAAAAAAAATTTGTTACTTGCTTATTGAATTACTATTTAATTCTTTCAATTGATAAACTTTTCATTCAATATATTTTGAAATTTTTGTTGCAGTGATTTATAAAGTTTTTTAGTAATAATTCTCATAACTTCTTTCATCAAATTTCTTTAAATATGTTATCTTGTTGAAAATATAGAGATCATATGACAACTATATCTTCAAGATACTACAACAATTGGACTATACATGTGTGATGCGTAAAAGACAACTATAAAATTAAAATAAGAATTCCATCTAATATTTCAAGGCTTCTATTGGGTCTTCTGAAACTCTAAATATTGGGTCTTCATCTCAAGGCTTCTATAATTGATTAATTTAGGAGGCTAAAAATATATAACCCCTACATTTTACTAAAAAAAAAAATAAAAAAGTTAGGAGGTGCCATGGCTCCCTACTAGTCCCTCTTGTCTCCGTCCTTGATAAGATGGCCCATGTTATAGTCCCTGTTGGTGGTAACGATGGAGGTGCAAATAACGGTGGTGGCAATGGCGGATGTGGGGATCACATCCCTATAATTGGAGTACTTAGTGTGGAAAGATATAACCGTATCCAACGCTGTATCTAGCCATCCGCTATTCATCTGTCTACATAAAGCATTCCTGGTATTATATTTTATCAATGAGAGGAAGTACCTATTTCTTTGAAATGTTATCATAAATTCATAAACATTACAATCAAGGTTAATAAATATAAGTAATAAAATGAGAAATTTTTTTACAGTTACTAAATTATTTATATTTTGAATAAAGATTAATTAAAAAATGTTTATATTTTGAACAAGAGGAAGTCTATACTTAAAATTATTAAAAGAGGCAAATTTGAAAAAAGTATTTTTATAGTTTTATTTATAAGACATTTTCAATATGTTTTACTAAAACTAAAGAAAATTTCAAAATTTATTTGTTCTATCTAGAAATTTTAAAATTTTTTAACTTTACTCCTATTAAATATACATACTTTAACAATACATTTTCTCTTTCCAACATTGAATAGAGGTCAAAAGGAAAAATTTGTTATGAAAATTTAATGCGGTGACTTATAAATAAGACAAAAAAATTTTTTTCTTTTTACCTTATAAATAGGATCGAAGGAGTATAAATTACTCTAATTTTGCTCATGGTAAGGACCAAGAAAATTGGAAAATTTACCTTATATTAAGAATCAAAAGGAGTATACAGTGTATTGCTGCTTCTTTTTTTTTTTTTTTTGCCGATTCAAATGTGTTCTTCGGATCCAAAGTTTGGTCTGGTGTATATAGTTGGATTATTTGGATTTATTATAAGATGAATATGTTTAGTAAAGGGTCAAATGACATATGACTCCTAAACTTTTTTTTTTTTAAGGACTTGAAAACCGCCACAAGCTTCAGTGGTCATGAGCACTTGTTTATCACATTTGATTCAATGATATCTCCACAAAAGTGAAAATACACAAAATCATAAGCAAAATACATAATATGTAACATCTCCGAGCATTCAAGTGTAATGATCATGGACAATTAGGGCTTCTGCCAGGACCTCCAAAAAAGAAGTAAGTGCCCCAATCATGATCATGAGAAATGTCAGTTAGGATGTCATAGCATTTGGGACTATCAATGCTTTTGACAATGCTATTAGGAGGCACCAATTGGTTTTTGTTATTACCAACTTTTATGTTGGCAAAGAAGCTCGCTTTTGTAAAGCCTTCTGTAGAGAAATGGCCACTTCCCATTTGTGTAGAAGTATGTAGTCCATTAGGTTTTGAGTTTATGACTTCACCTCCCCACTCTACTGCTGATGCATTGTAAGAGAGTGTAGAGAACAAACATGAAGGCCAATATCCCATAACTCTATTAGAACCATTATATTGCATCCACCAAACTTCGTTTCTTACATCCTGCTCATTAATTATCCCAATCAATGTATATTATTTGGGTTGAAGTACATTTTTATCTCAAAATTAACATACATTCTTAGAAGAGCTTTGGGCGCAATAAACAAAATTGCAAAGCAATATAACAAAAAATTTAATTTTAAAACCATGGTAACATTACCAACAAGCATTAGTTGTAATAGAAGAGAACCATCTTGAGTTTGAGTCTATACGAATATAGAAAACCCTTTTAGCATAAATACCTCAAGTGGAACCAACAATGCTAATATGCAAGACTCAATCAAGTAGTTATATAAAAAAGAGAGAATGACAGTGAAGTTTCTAAAGATTAAACTAATGACAGTTTGGTTTTTGACAAAAAAATTTTAAAATATGAATTAATATTTACAAATAAGTGAAAATTTTTTCGTAAAATTTTATCAGAAATTTAACTGTCATTAAATCAGTCTTCTAGGAAGGACTTAACTATCATTTTCACCCAAAAAAAAAACCATTGTAATATTGTCCCCTATTTGAGAGTTAATGCTGGATATAACAAAATAAGTTTATTTTAGGCAACAAAAAAAAGGAGTTTACTACCCCTCACTAACACTTGTTGACTTAAACATTGATTGTTAAAAAAGGTGTAACATTACACCGATTTTAAAAGATTATGTGTTGCGTTGTTCTATAGTTTTCTTTAGAGCATCCATATATGGCTCCTTTAGAAATACTTTCGGAAATTCTCTCTGACTCATTATTCTTTGACCGAATAGACTATATGTGGCACCCTCACGTGTGAAAGAAGAGAATAAAATAAGGAATAGGGCATGATGAATTCAATTTGTTGCAGAAATTAAATTGGACACACACAGACCTACCTTCCAGATGGAGATCGTCATAGCAGCTTGAGCATGATCATTACCATATTTAGATAACGGTGTGATGCGTCCTCCAACGGCTACTCCAGCATCAAGTTGAACAAATCCAGAACATAGCAGATCATAGCATCCAGTATTTTTATTGGAGTCACTCTATGATCGTATCAAAATTTATAATTAACATAATAAAATTCACCTACAAAATGATTCCAAAAACAAATACTTAAGACAGCTGCGAAACTTGTAAACTCACAGTCCAATAAGTTAAAAGTCTGGTCGTGCTATCCCCATATAGTTGCGGATTCACCTGATTGTCCAAAATTAAGGAAAGGTCAAATAGAGAATGAGATGGATCTTTGGATGATAGTGACATGGATTTTAGGTTGCCCAATATGATTGAACTTGATGAGTTGATGTGTGAGAAGTTTTACATAAAATAAAGTTAGGTTTAATAACTAATTAATTAATATATAAAAAAGGAAAAAAATCTCATAAACTTAATCTTGAGATTTGAGTTAAGATATTATGTCATTTCACTATTCTCATTCATTTGTCCTCTCTCCTGATTTTCTGGAAGTCACTCCCAATTCTCAACAAATTCTTAAGAAATTAAAATTTAAACATATTGAAGCAAATGATAAAAACTCAAAATAATCTGTTTCATGTGTTCATAGATAAATTTATTAAGGGGCAAAAATACTCATAAAGTTATTGACCAAGAGCATTTAATATCTTGAAGTGAGGAAAGATACACAAGTGTGAGTTAGCATTATTTAAGTTAGTGTAAGAGTTAACTATCCATAAAATTTAACTGATGTTAAATGTTTACCCAACACCTAAGCAGATGGTTGACTTATTTTAGATGACATGAAAACCAAAAGATGGCATGGCTGATCCTTGTAGGCTGGAAATTGCCTAGTCACATATTCCACATACTCCTCTATTTATGTCACCAGATTCTATAGATTGAGATTAATAAGTTGGATCGAGATCAATAGGACGATGAAGAATTGTCTCCGTGAAGCGGATCGAGCATGACTAACCAGAATCAAAGCAGAGGAATTGCTCTAGTTCCAGGAAAAGAAGAGAAAACAAAAATAGGACCAAAAAAAGAAAGAAGATTTCCCAGATCTCTTAAATTTAGGAGTACCGAGACAAGAAAATTTTAAAACGAATAAATTTTTCCAACCTAATTCCACCGGATCAAAAACATAATTCATTGTTTCAAGAGATTGTAGATAAGTAACTCCTCTGAGGGAAAAAAATTGATCAAGATAATTAGAACAAAAGATTCATACAGCGTTATCTCTAACAAATCCTCAATCTTCGGGTAGACAAAAGACATACAGCTAGAATAATCAAAATTCGCAAAGATTTGAAAGAAAGAAACCATCAGATCTAGCGAAATCCTCAAGAAATTTTCGGATTTTCAAAAACTGGGTGAAATATTTACCAGCAAAAGCTCTTCATAGTCCTACAAGAGGCTCTAATGCCTAAGCCTTGCCCTTTGATCCTCATACGGAGCATGTGGAGACTCCAAAGGAACACGAGTTGCAATGGGTGGTGCCATTGAAGGAGATCCGAGGAAGATGAGTTGCAGCAGAAGAATGGGTTCTATAGATTTGAATGAGGTGGGAAGAGGTGGCAACGTGGCTGATGGATAAAAGCCACCTGGCATGAATTGTGAGGCAAATTAATGACTTTTGTTAAATTTTATGAATTTATCACTCTTGCATCATTTTAAATAACGTTATGAATACTCATACACCTTTTTTCACTTCAAGATATTAGATGCATTTAGCCAATAATTTTGTGAGTATCTTTATCCTTTTACTCTTCATTAAAAAATTAAAGAATACCTGCCAGCCAGCTTCTATGGTATTTGTATTCACGACATCATCATCATTCATAAGCCAAATTTGAGAGGTACTAAATTCGCCAAACTGAACATTAGGATTCCATGTGTTTATCATTGCCTTGGCTCCATAATATCTCTCTCCTTGTACATATACCGAGGCATACTATGGTCAAAATAGAAGAAGAAGAAGAAGAAGAAGAACAAAACTCATCTAAGAAACAAATTGAAAGACAAATTAAAGCTTCTAAGTTCAATAGGGGGACAACATTAATTAATACCTCCTGGCCATGGATACCTTGACCTTTAACATATGAGCGAGGAGGGACAGTTTTAAGATTCTTCTTCCCAAATTGTTGGATAGAGCTTGCCCTCAATATGTCTTCTTCTCTTATTCTTCTTATCGGGACGGTTCCTTCTGGGCAGCTTCCAATTTGGTGCCATGGTTGAACAATTGGCATTGATTTTGAAGACACATCAAGTTTTTCTACTATATTATCTATTGGGTAAGAACTTGGCCTCATCTTGAATCAAATGGAAAATATAATTAAACAGCTTAATTTAGAATTATATTGTCAACAATATGAAGCCAAATTTATAAAACTCAAATATAAGAAAGCACACTAAAATTGTTTCACCTTGATTTTGTGATTTTTGAGTTTTGGATGATCAAAAGCTGGTTGATTCGGAATAGAGACACAATCGATTATATCTCCATCCGGACTCTGTTGTTAACACAAAGCATCAAAAATTTAAAAATTAGAATAAATCCCAAAATGATATATATATATATATATATACACACCCCAATGCCTTCACATATATAATTAGGGAGAATTACAGAGAGATTTCAAAAGAGTCAATTAATTTAACTTAGGTTCTAAGTACCAAACTTCAAGAATTTGCATTTTTAATTTTTAATTTTGCAATGTGATGAATTTGCAACTTATATTTTAAATTTTAATAGAAAATACAAATTTATTTATTTTTCAACCATATTAAAATTTAAAAAATAAGTTATAAATTTATCACAATAAAATTATAAAATTGAAAACTAAAGTCGCAAATTCTTAAAGTTTGATACCTGGGATGTATGTTGAATTAATTAATTTTTTTGGGACCCCTCTATCATTCTTCTTATATAATTATACTCCCTCCAGTCCTTAAGGTGGTTCCATTATTTTCATGCATATGAAGAAAAGGTTGTTGCATCTTGTTTAAAGCCGAAAGAAGTCATATAAAATTCCAATTTTACCTTATTAAAAATTAGTCCCTTCATTAAAAAAATATATAAGGTATTTTTAATTAAATTACATCCCAACTAGTTTATTAATTATCTTTTAACTAACAGCATAGTTCCATATCTATCCTTATTTAATTGATAAGGTATTTCACTTAAAGGTGAATGGTTGAATCATGAATGGTCTATTTATTAAGTGTATTTTTGGAAAAAGCTCATTAATTAAACATTGGAAAGTTAAAATATCTTATATTTTTTAACATTCAACCTCAAAAAGAAGCCTAATATTTTGAAAGATAAAGATATATTTTTGCCCTTGAAATATTCTCCAAGAACCACCTAACACTTTAAACTATTGATTGGAGCAATTTTTTTCTAAAAGTAATTAAAATGGAATATGTTTGCCTTTGTCGTCAAATTTCCAATGCTAACCATTAACAAATGCTAACTAAGACTTCAATGTTGACTGTTAGAAAATTTAAAGTCAAGGGTAAAATTATTCTGACTAATAATTTAGGTTGTTGGGTTCTCTACAAAGAATACTTTAGGAATAAAAATTCACATTTATCCTATTTTTAAATGGAAGGAGTAATTTATCCACTTACTTTTACAATTCTTAAGATGATTCATTAATAGGATTAGAAATAAAAAATGTCCAACCGTTAGATAATGCTACATTTGTCCCAATTTATAAAACATTTTAGATAAAATTACACATAATAATAAAACTTTCATTAAATACACTTTACAATTTATTTTTTGGAAAATAATATTGCCCTAAAATTATTAAAAAATTATAACTTTGCCCTCACACCCCGGCGCATGTCGGCTGTTAAATTGGCTTCTTTGACCAAGGGAATCATATGGCCCCACGTGGATAATGATCAATGATGTAGACCCAACTAGAGACACCTGTTGAGTTTCTCATTCTCCATTTGACCCATCACACAATTGACCTCTCTCAACACTTCTCCGGTCGCCGTCGCCTCCTCCCAATGCTGCCATCGAGATTCTCAGCCCATGGCACTGCCAACTCGTGCGCCAACACTACCGAAGATCTTCAAATCTTCCATATCACAGCTAGATTGGGTCGCTTGGGTTACTATCGTCGAGGTTTCAATCTCCGCCGTCCACAGATGTCCGGGTCGTTGAATCAAAAATCCTCGAAGACGAGCACGAGTTGCTCGCACTGGAAATCGACGAGCTTCTTATCCTTCCCTTCGTTGTTCAGCCATGGTAGGTCCTTCAATTCCCTTCAAGGTCTCGAGCCAGGGTGTATCAGAAACAGGGATTATTAGAATGGATGCTTTTGTTATAATGATTTTGATTGCAATGGCTCTCATTTTTAGATTGATTTCGTCTATTTTTGGCTTCTTATTGGAGGGAGAGCCTTGGAAAATTTCTATTTGATTTATAGCTTTTCACGATAGGAAAGATGGATTCCCTCTTTTGATATTTAGTCTTGTAACTGGGAATTTCTTCTTTTTCTGGTGTGTTTGTGGGAGTGGATTTTAAATTTGCATGTGTGAATCAATTTGAGGTTTTGATCCCTGGGAATCGATGGAGTGGGAGGTTTTGAACCTCATCCATGGTGCAGAGAAACCCAAATTGATTTGAGCTTTTGGAACTTCTTTTTCTCAGTCAATAGAGACATGAGGTCACTCGGCGCTCTGGTGACGAAACAAGTGATGTTACCGGCGACAAACCACAACTGGATGCTACAACAGATTCAAGCATTTGCTCAGGAGAGAAGGGGCATCTGAAGTGGTATGGAATCGGAATTTGAACTCCAAAATCCACGTGGTTAAAGCTTTAGTCCCACTCAGCGGAAAAATTTAGCCACTTAGATACAGTGGTCAAACGTAGCTGCCCCTCAAAGTTAATGGCCGGGCAACATTGTTTTGATTTTGAAAGTTTTGATTGACATTGTTCCAACAAACAAGTTTAAGATAACAGACATTCTTTGTGAAGAGGTTTTAAGATATTTTTGTGTTTTAACCTTTCGTTTAATACCCCGTTTATAAAAAAAAATGTTAAAGGAAGAGGGAATAAAATGGGAAAGTTAATGTTAAAAGGGCATCATGAATAAAATATTATTTTTAAAAAAAATATTTTATATTTTAAAAACTGAAATTTCACTAAAAATATTTTATAAATTAGAATAGAAGAAGTACTATGTTACCCCTCATATTGTGGAGTAAAACTGCTCCTAGAATACGCCTTATAAGCACTGAGGATATAAGAAATATATGAAGATGAATTGTATACGGACCTTGATGGACTTAACAGCTGGTTTACTCAACTTGTTCAACAGCTTTTGAACCTCAAGTTTCTGATGAAAATCACCATCCTTGCTACCTGCGTTCATCATCACTTGTACACAAACAATCAACAAGAAGCACAAAACCACATTGGCCACCAAACTCTTCTCTTCCATTGACTATGAAAAGTATATATGAATATTCTCAAGCTAAGTTTCTGCAAATTTTAGTGACTGAATATATATATATATATATATATGCTACTCATTGAATGTGATATTATTTTTATTTGTTTTCCTTTCTTGTGCAAAATGAATCTGGAAACAACGGTAACAAATCCACACAAAAACGGAGAAACGTATATCTCTTTGACTAACGTGTGATGACAAAGCATATTTATCATATGTAATTGTAAAATTGATGATATTTTGTAGATACATGTACGTATTCAACGATTTAAAATATATTATTGATGATTGATGATTGGTGAGTTATCCTATATCTTGACATATTTTTTCTTTTCTGTATCCACTTATTCATGAATCCACAGTCATTGAATGTAAGAAAATTTAATGGTGCTAAATGCATCAAACATGCTTTGACTCTCATACGTGACATGCACAAGACATTTTTATAATTGCAGATAAAGAAATTAAAAGTGTATTGACATGGCCAATTTATGCATGGATTATAATAGTTTTTTGGCTCCTAAATTTGATAATTATGGCTTATACATATTTTATTTCTCTGTTGATGATGAATGAATAAGTTCTTTAAAAAAACTAAAAAGTTAAGTTTAAAAAATGGACAACATTTTTATATATGAACAAGTCATATTTAAATATTTACGAGTGATTATTCTTACACGAACAATAACATATCTATGATTAACCACAATCCATAAAAATACTTAAAAAATAAATTTATAATATATTTATTTTATTTAGTATAATATTGATAACCTATCAATATTGAAGGAACAAATTATTTAAAAAAAATTGAACAAAAGTAAGTGTGCTCATGCGCGCACTATGTGTGTGAGTTTTTGTAATATATTATTAGATGGCTTCAATATATTAGATGTATTATTACATTTTGTAATATAGTATAGTGATAAACTGACATTTGTAACATCAAGGGGTTAAGGGTTCAAATCCTCTCTTTGATTGGTGTGTGTTACATTTTGTAATATATTATTAAATGGCTTCAATAGTATAGTGATAAACTATCATTTGTAACATCGAGGGGTTAAGGGTTCAAATCCTCTCTTTGACTGGTGTGTGTTACATTTTGTAATATATTATTAGATGGCTTCAATAGTATAATGATAAAATGTCATTTGTAACATCAAAGGGTTAAGGGTTCAAATCCTCCCTTTAGCTGGTATGTGATATATTTTGTAATACATTATTAGATAGCTTTAATAATATAGTGACAAACTATCATTTATAACATCAAGAAATTAAGTATTCAAATCCTCCCTTTGACTGAATTTGATTGCTAATGCCAATGCTCCAGCCACCAATGGTGGTGGCCTCCTTACTAGTGACAAAGCGACTGACAATGAAAAAAGAAAAAGAAAAGAGACAAGGGCATTTATAATATTTTGGTAGAAATTTTAGTTGCATGAGGACTCTTGGACCTATTGAGAAATTTCATATTTCTTTAAATTCTTCACGTGAGTGTGTTATTTTTGAGAGCTCTACCTAAGATTCTCCCTTTCAAAAAGTAACTATTTATCTATTTCTAATTAATTCAGACCAAGCAAAATTTTTTGGCCACTAAATCCAACAAAAAACAATTAGAACTAGCCTTTACATTAAATAGAAAAAATTCTAATAAAATTAATAATTGTAATTAAAATCAACCTTTGCATAATTGCAAATTAATAATTTAGATGCCACAATAGAAAGTTAGAAGCTAATTAATTAATATGAAAAAATATTTCTTAATAAAATTTATATATCAAATATTATGTTTTTTAATGAAAATATTATTTTTGTTCAAATATACCAAAGTGACAACCAATAGAAAAATTACCCTTGAAATCAAGGAGGGATCTAGAACCAGCTTGATGGGGAGCCAAAATGTAAAATTATATTATAGCGAGGGTCAAAATTAATTTTAACATTATTTATGAAGAAAAACTAAATAAATTTAACCAATTTTTTGTAATTTTTTGTACCTTGGGAGGGGGCAAGCAGGGGATCCGTCTCTGCTTGAATTTGGCGGCAAAAACACCATTGACTTTGAAGTATTTTACTGAAGCTCTGCGGCAATGTCAGACTTCGCTTAACTATCTGCCAAATGTTAATCAGAGGCTTAGAGCCTTCACTGCCGTCGGGAGAGTTTTTTTTTTTTTTTTTTTTTTCCTTTCCAATGTGCATCCAGTCTTCAAAATCCTTCTAGCCACCAGCACAAGCTGAGTCTATCTGAGTGATTAATCCCTCGCAACATAACATAACGAATTAATGCCAGAATTTTTTATAGGAGAAAAGCTTTCATATAATACTTGACACGTTTTGAACAAGTTTCGCTGCAATAAAAGCGTACATGTAAAAGACGGGAGTAAAGATACGAACCCTTTAAATAATCAATTCTGACGCTAGTGACAAAGCTCCAGCGACTGATAATAATGACACTTAAAAAAAAAAGATTTTAATTGCATAAATTAAAAGACCTTTGGGACTGCAGAGAAATTTCATAAATTAAATTAAAAGATGTTCATAAATTTGATTCAATTCGATTTGGTTTTAGATAAAAATTAAATTAAACTGAATCAATCAATTTAAATATTATTAAAATTTGATCGATTTCAATTGAAATTAGTTTGGTTCAGTTTTCATTTTAATTTAGTTTGATTTAGTTAAGCTTTGAATCAAGTTTCAATGAATTTATTTTATTTTATTTTATTTTCTTTTTTTCTTATCTTTGTAATAGTTGGATTTTTTTTTTTTAATTTTAATTGATCCATGCATTATTAACTCTTTTATCATATCAAAAGTCCTTGTTTATCTTGTGCTTTATTTCAATCATAATCATAATATATTTATGGGAATTGGAAAGTTTTTTAACCTTGATTAATCACATATCATGTGCATACATGTTCATCTTTTTTTTATTTATTTTTTACTTGGTCTCAAATGAATTAAAGATAAAAAAAATATGTTCATATTATATTAATTTTATTTATCTCTTCATTTTATTGACATTGAATGTACTATATTTATCTTCATGATCTCATCAATTTTCTTGCGTCATCCAAAAAAATATATATGTATATATACAATGCAAATTAATTTTATGATTGCAAGCGGTAAAAAATTAAAATAATAATGATGATTAACTAATCATCTTTATGATTATATTAAATACACTATTTGAATTTTCATGAAAAAAATTCATCACCTAATAACAAGTAGCACAAATATCTTAAGACTAAATATCTAAAATTTCAAATATCACGTTATTTAATATTAATACTTATACCTATAGTTCCACACACACATATATATATATATTTCAAAACACAATATTCAATATCTATCTCTCAATGTTATAATATTCACTTAAATTATATTAATTGTCTGTTATTTAAAAAACTTATATATTTAATTAGATAAATATTATATACATAAATATTATTTTTAATCAAGTTTGATTTAAGTTTGGTTCGGTTTTCATATCTTAAAATTAAAACCAAACTGAACCAATCAATTTGTGTGTCATAAAAAACTAAAGCAAACTTGATTAATGGTCGATTTTGATCGGTTCATTTTGGTTTGAATTGGTTTAGTTTGATTTGTTTAGTTTAGATCGGTTTCAAGTATCCTAATGCCAAATGTTAATCAGAGGCTTAGAGCGTTCGCTGCCATCGAGAGAGAATTTTTTTTTTCCCCCAACGTGCATCCAGTTTTCAAAATCCTTCTAACCACCAACACAAGTTGAGTCTATCTGAATGATTAATTTCTCACAACATAATACAATAAATTAATGCTAGGATTTTTTATAGGAGAAATGCTTCTATGTGATATTCGACATGGTTTACTAGAGGAAAGGAAAAAAGCCTTCAAACCAATTAATCTAGATCGAGTCAGATTGTAAGGAAAACAAATTCTGCCAACAAGTATTTAGCAAAACTACATACTTGGAACTTGATATCATGATCGATGTCTGCTTAAGCTAGTTTATCCCATATCTATCTGAGACACAAACTCACGAAGACTTCGTCATCGACGTAACAAGTCTTCACTCTTACTTCTTATTTGTTTTGACCTGCTTTTATTTATTTGTTTTGGCCAACTTATTTTGACCACCTTCTAAAAGTAAAGCTATATAATCAAATATACATGGCATAGAATCCAATGTACACTTCCCCTGCATATTCTTGGCTTCATAGATTCTCTTCTTGTGTATAGACTCACAAAAAAGTCCCCCTTTCCATCTCTCTCTCTCTCTCTCTCTCTCTCTCAAGATATTCATTTTACCGTTACAGAATCAAATTTTTAATTCCAAAGTACTGAAAAGCGAGGAGCCCAAGAAGCAAAGCGATTAACCAAACCAATCAAGCTTTTGATCCGTTAATTATGGCTGAGGTAACCAACGTCTCTCTGTAACCCACTCTTCAACCTTTATTCCACACTTTTGACCCTATTTCCCTAATCCTCGCTCAGACAAACTCCGACTTCCACTCCGACCATCCTCTTCCCCTGAGACTCGCCGCACTGGATCATCCCATGGAGAGAGGACCCAGATATGAAGCTTACGCTGAATTGAGAGAATCAAAGCTCCGACTCAGGCTCATTACTCAGCGGCAACAAAAAGAACTTGATGGACAAGAACCCGACCCGAAACTACTGACCCCGCCTGCGAAACTGGTCAGGTTTCAATCGAGTTCCGGGAGAGAGAGGAATAATGAAGGTCGTTTAAATGGTGGGCGAAGAGGGTGCTCTGTTCTTGCTCAGTCTGTGCCGGATTTCTCAGCGGCGGCGTTACGGAAGGAGAATCGGAAGCCAGCGAACACCACGCCGCCGCCGCCGGCGAAGAGTTTCTCGCGAGCGTCCAGTCTAAGAGGGAGCCTGTCGGCGAATGCAGGGGAGAGGAGGGGTGGTGGCGTTCTGGTGGCAAGGAAGAGCTACGCCGCCGTGGATGAGCTCAGGAGTTTATCTTCGGCGGTGAGTAACGCCATTACCAGTGAAAGCAGAGGTGGAAGGAAGACTGCTATTGGATGCAGAAGGTCCTGATGGGATATCTTGGAACCTTTTGATTTATTTGTCTTTCTTTTATTCCTTCAATTTTTTTTTTTTTTTTTTTTTGCCAGGACTTGCAGTGCCCTTCAATTTGATCTTCGTAATATTATATTGGAGATGTTTTCTCTCTGAATTTTTTTCAAATGTAAAACAAATTTAATATTAAAAAAATTGCAAACTACTCCCTCCAGTTTAATTCACAGGAAAAACTATTATTTTTTACTTATTTTTTATATAAATAAAATTACATATTTTAATAAGTATTTATTATACATTTTTTAAGTCATTTTTCATAATTTACATTAACAAAAAATAATTAATACATATTTATGTTAATTAACATAGAGTATTTTAATTTAATTTTTTATTTTCACACATAATTATTATGATTGATTAACTTTATTAAAGTGATATAATTTTTTTTTATATATAAAAACGAAGAGAGTAGTCAATAACATGCAACATCTCTATCTCATTGACCACTGCAATTTTCTTTTTTTTTTTAAAAAAAAATATCTAATATCCTAAATCTGTCATGGTTTAGATTGAGTTAAATTTAACCAGGACATGTTCCTTTTGAGTAAAAATTCTACTATCATCCTTATTGCATTCCCAAAGTTCAAATTCAATACCTCTTATTAAGCTGATATAACTCATTTTAAAATAACGTGGGTACCAGGAATTGATCAAAGATTTGATAACTCCCTACTCTATCATGTGAATTTTTAATCAAAATTGAACATATAAGTAAACTTCTTAATATACAAAGTTCAAAGAAACATATCAATTCCTATAAAAGAACGTCCTAACTTGATCAATAATATTTCTAGAAGGATGTTGAAAAGAATAAAACCTTGTGGTCAAATTTATGGCTTCCTCACAATCGAAATATTTGCTTTCAAATGCAAATGTTACAGAAGAAGGACAATCTTCAATTACAATTTTCTATAGGCCCGGAAATTGTAATAAAATGTGGTTCCGAGAGTAGTGAGTATCGATGTCTTGTTGGGCCTATACATAAGACTATGGCCCAATAGTATGATAGCAGATTGCATGGAGCCTCTTTTTTTTTTTTGGTAAATTTCGCATGGCTTTGAAACATAGCAAATGAGCAAAGATTCTTTAGCAAAGGCTGAAATTTCTAACTCATCTCTATTTGATTCAGTTCCTTTGTTTTCAAGGGACTTGCTCTTGAAGGATTGTATTGGATTTAAATCCCCTCACTTAGTCTAATTTATTTAATTGGGCTTTGCTGTGGAGATTCACCGGGCCTAGAGAGGCCATGAATGGGATCGGATATGTCACTTTTATAGCTATGCTTAATATGTAAATAATGATTGGCTTAACATAGCCTGGGTAATCTACTTGTGTAACTTTTTTCGAGCGTCAGGCTACGAATGATAATTGATGACTCACGACTAAACAAAATTAACTGATCTTAACCAACTTGTCAGGTTAAATTTAGTAAAAGAATCTAACCTCTTATAAAATAATAAATTAAGACTTGAATTTTTATTAGAAAAGACAATCGCTCATATTTTAAACATGATCGCCTTCGGTGAAAAGATAACAGTGGTTTTTAATTTTTATTATCCAAACTTTCCAATTTTTATAACTTTTGACCACTGGAAATCCTTGTTTAATGTTTGTTTTCTAATGAGGTTTGAAATATTTTTTACATAATTTTTAAAAAAATTGTGTTTATATTTATAAATCGTTTTGCAAAATCTATATATTAATTAATCAAAATAAATTATGGGGGAGAGAAAAGAACCGTGTTTAAAAAAATGGGATTAAACTTATTATAAACAAAAAATGCTACTAAACTTGCCGGGTGAATTAAGAATCAGCCTAATGTCTGATCCCAAACAATCCCTATCCCTAAACAAAAAGAAATAAGACCCGGCTAGATAGGACAGTTAAAAACCAGCCTAATGTGTGAAAAGTCAAAACCACCAAGCAAAAGAGAGAGACTGCTGCCTTTAAAAGACATAAAATAAGGAAATAAAAATTCTCTTTATATTATATAAATAATATTTTAATTTTTTTAAAATATCATAATTTTTTTAAGATCCCCAAAGATTTTTTTCATTAGTAAGAAATTAATATAAAAAATTAAATTACCTTTTGATTGAAATAAAAATCTCAAACCTCAAAATAGAAACTTTGCATCCTTAATTCACAAGTTTTGTTTTAAGATTTATAATTTTTTTTTTTAAAATTATAAAAATATAATAGTAATTTATAAATTCATATTTAAAATTCTGATATTTCTTAAAAGTTATAAATATTAATTGTCATTTACAAGTTTTATTTTAATATTTATAATTTTTTTTTAAAAATTGTAAGAATTTAACAGCAATTCGTAAGTTCGCATGTATATGTTTTGAGGCTTGAGATTTTTATTTCAACCAAGGACAATTTAATCTTTTATGTTAATTCTTTAACAATAAAAAAATCTTCAAAAATTTTAGGAAGATTATGACATTTAGAGAAACTAAAATATTATTATAATTTAAAGAGATTTTAACATCATTTTTTTATTAAAAACATCATAAAAACACGAAACAACCCCACCCACGCATGCTTTTATAGAAGTCGGGTTCCCTCACCTTACATATGGATTGTCGCAATTAAAATTGTATTAAAAGGATAAATTTGTCTTAAAAGTTTTCTGTTAGGCACAACTTCTATTTTTAATTTTTTATCAGTGCAATGTTACTCTAAAATTTTCAAAATAGTGTAATATTATTTTATAATAGCATTTGACCAATGTTGACTATTAATTGAACAATTGTTAGAGTGGAAAAAAAAAATTTGCCTGGGAACTTAGTCTAAGGGAGCAAGTGGCATCTAAATTTTTGATTAGAATAATTTTACCTTTTATGGTGGATGAGTCTTAAAGGATGCCTTAAGGAAATTCTCATGGAATGTTTCAGTTAAAGTTGATTTTGTGCTTTGTCAATCTCAGACGAAGCCTTTAATCAAAATTTAGAAATATAAATCATTTTTTGATATTAATAACTGAGTTGTTGAATCATTTTTCTGATTTAAACATTGATAACTTAAAAATATTACATTCATCATGAGTTTAGGATATCAATTACTCATAAAAAAAAACTTTCTAGACAGATTGCCATTTAACCCTGATTATCATTTTTAAACTAACAGACAACGTCAATTAAACATTAACATAGGATGATATTGTATTATTTTTTAAAACTTTTCAAGTAATATTGTACCTATCAAAAGCTAAGGATAAGAGTTGTATCTGGTGGGAAACATTTAGGGTAAATTTTTCCCGTAACCCATTAAAATTATATTATGCAAATTTAATTTGATTGTACTCTTATACTTTTAATATATGTTATTTTAATGAATAAATAACATAAATCAAAACAAATTTTAACTTCATTTTTTCATCTGGAAAAATAAAATTCATTTTGTTAAAAAGGATGTAACCGTCACTTATAAAATTAAAGATAGAGATTTTAAATTTAAACCTTTTAGATTATATTTAAATAATAAATATTTTTTTTTCTCACAGAAGAGCACATAGTAGTAGTTCTTAGTTCTTATTCTAGAGATAAATACCGAATACCAACCCTTTTCAATCATTACCTGCCTTCAAATTAGTTGGGTTTTTCTTGTATTTTCAGGTATTAAAAGGAATTGATGAAGCTTATGTTTGTAGATTTGGCATTAAAAGCATAAATCTGACTTCCATGCATTGCTAAAGCAAAAGTTAAAACCGAATATGCAGCGGCAAAGCAACAGAGACTTAAACTATGAAATGAATAATGTATAAAAGATTTACATGTCTAAATTTAATTGAAAATAAGTATCTTGAATATATAAAACTTTTCTTTTCCAAAACCTTAAATACATAATTTTTTTCCATTATTTAAAGCTACAAAAAGCTGGAAAAAAAAACAAAATTTATTTATAATAATATTTACCAGATATTTACAGAGTTAAGACGATTATTTCAAAATTTTAAAATATAATTGGATTACTTTCACGTAACTTAACATTTTTTTTGACCAGCACACGTAACTTAAAATTTTAAAAACAATTTTTTTAATATTATCACTGAATTTATCTATCCATGAATATATTTTAATAGAAAAATCTATCATTTAATCCTTTTTCTTTTTTCGAAGAAAAGACAAGGATCACAGCAGCTAAACCATGTTAAAAAAGAAGAAGAAGGAGAATGAGATTAGTCAATTGCAATCAACTCATTATGCCAATCAACTTGAAACATATAAGCAATCCACAAGCGCTTGGATAACTACTTAAGGGATTGAACCAGTCATGAAGTCTTAAATTTACGTTTTAAGATATACATTCATATTAAATAAATGATAAGACTTATGTACTTAATCTTATATATTTAATATACTTTTATTCAATTAAATCAAAACAATTGAATATTAATATGTTAATAGTACTAATAAAAAATTTTGTTATATAATAAATAATCTATTAAAGATACTCATATCTTGATTTAATTAAAAATAAATATATTAAATATATAAGGTTAAGTATATAAATTTTTTTTTAAATAAATATATCAAATATACCTCTGAAGTATTCGACGTGAGGTTGCTTTTAGTAATAATAGTACCACACAACAATAATTTGAATTAATTTAGGAAAGAGGTAATAACAGTCTAATTTCCCAAAATACCGGGTATTAGAGATAAAAAAATAAAAAAAAATAATTAATGAATAATGGCACGAATATATAAAATGTTTGAATATGCATAGGTGTGGAGTTAAAAACTTTACTAGAAAGGATCAAGATGACAAAATATATGCTAAAAAATATTTTAATGTATATATTTATATTCAATTTTATATATACTCAATTTAAAAAACTATATTACTTGTATACTAAATTTACTATTTAGTTCTTTTAATTAATAATTACATTAAATAAATAAATCAACATGGTAATGATACTCAATTATTACAAATTCTTTATGTCAATGAAATCTAAATATATCATAATAAAAATTATTCATATAATAAATTTTAATAGCTTGATTGTTATAGAAAAAAGTAATTTTTCTTAGAATAACATATTTTAATCATAATCTCTTAATTTTTGAATAAGTAATTTTATGATAGATATCAAACACATAATATTCAATATA